TCAGTATCAAAACATCGTGATGCTTAACATAGTCAAGTACTTAATGTTTGAAATAACGGACCTGCTGTTGGATGTTTGACCTTTATACTTTGTATTCATTCTCTACCCCTTTCTGCTCTCAGCCATGCGCTCCGGGTGGCTAAGTGGTTAAGTGCTGGGCTGCTAACCACATGTTAGCCATTGGATATGATCAGCTGCTCCTCCGGAGAAAAACGAGGCTTTCTGTTCCAGAAACCCACAGGAGCTGTTCTACTCTGTCCTATGGACTCACAATGAATCCACCTCAACTTAAAAATTGCAGTCTTATATTATCTACCTATCTATCCCTCCATCTATGTATGTATGTATGTATCTATTTATTTTCCATGTGTTCCAGGAAGGTTATCTGTATGGACTTCATCATGTAGGCTCCCTTCTTCCTCTGGCTAGCTGGGGATTCAGCCATCCAAATTGGAGATACCAGCAGGAGATTTGGGGCCAGAGAAGACATGTTACCATATTCATGATTCCAGCGTCCTCCTTGTTGGGCTATGATCTGGCAGGACCTGTGTTCTACCTTAGCCATAGCTTCGGTCAGGCAGCGCCCATATGTACATGGTCGCAGGCTTTGGTAGAATCCGCTAACCGCTCCCTCTCTGTGCCCCGGTAAGCCTAGTGTCATACAGCTTGCCGCTGCTGCTACTCCCTGGGCGAATCATCATCATTTGATGGGTCCCTCAACTCTATGCAGACTTCTTGTTTAATTAGTTCCTTTATAGAATTGTATTCATGTGCCCTTTTAGTATTCTATCTGTTTCTTGTGGAGGGCACAGTTATGTTACTCTTGACATATATCATTCATATGCTTTAAAAATTGCAGTCTTACATTAACTTATAAAGTGAATGGCCCTTGTCCTTTCCTTCTACACATATTTTAACTGACTAGAGACTTGACTAATTCCATGTTAATATATGCTTTCCTATTTTGTTAAAAAAAATAACTCCTTCAAAATGAAAAGATTATTATCATGAATGTAATAACTGTATTTTCAGACTAGTTAAAGTTGAAGGCAATGCCTCACTAGAATAAACTCCCCCAAATAAACTTGACGTTCGAGAGGTCTCTGCTGACATGTAAGTGTATGAATCGATGCTGTGCTGGCCGTTTTCTTCTTTACGCCCAGATCTCCTTTTCACCTTCTCCCTATTATGACTTGTTTTTACCAAGGATCTAGATTATCCAGGTCTTCTTATGGTAAGCTTGGAAGTCCTGGAAAACATGAAGCTGGGACATTTTCTCACTCTTTTTTTTATTAAATACTTTTATTGGGGCCTCTTACATCTCTTCTCACAATCCATACATTCCTCCAGTATGTCAAGCACATTTGCACATATGCTGCCATCATCATTTTCAAAGCATTCTCTTCCCACTTGAGCCCCTGATATCAGCTCCCCATTTCTTCCCCCTCCTCCCCTCACCTTCCCTCACAAACCCTTGATAAGTTATAGATTATTACTTTCATATCTTACATTGTCCTCCATCATCCCTCACCCACTTTTCTGTTGTTCGTCCCCCTGGGAGGGGGGTTATATGTCGATCCTTGTGATCAATTCCCCCGTTCTCCCCCCACCCTCCCCTAATCCTCTTGGTATGTCTATTCTCATTGTTGGCCCTGAGGGGTTTATCTATCCTGTATTCCCTGTATTGTAGGCAGTATGCATGTTCTGGTCCAATCCAATTTGTAAGGTAGAACTAGCGGAAAGTTGTGTGTTTCATTGGTGCTTTACTGCACCCTGACTGGCTCATCTCTTCCTTGTGACCCCTCTGTGAGGGGATGTCCAATGGTCTACAGATGGGAATTGGGTCTCCACTCCATGCCCCCTACTCCAACCCATTCACATTGGGTATGTTTTTTTCCTGGGTCTTAGATACCTGATACCTGATCCCATTGACACCTCATGATCACAAAGGCTGGTATGCTTCTTCCATGTGGACTTTGTTGCTTCTCAGCTAGATGGCTGCTTGTTTATCTTTAAGACCCCAGACACTATATCTTTTGGTAGCCGGGCTCCATCAGATTTCTTCACCACATTTGCTTATGCACCCATTTTGTCTTCAATGAATGTGTTGGGAACGTGAACATCACAGAATGCTGGATCATTAGAACAAAGTGTTCTTTTGTTGAGGGAGTACTTGAGTCGAGGCCCAATGTCCATCTGTAACCTTAATTCTTAACACATAGATATGAGTACATAGTTCTATTCCCCTCGTGTTTTATATATATGGTTTCTCCACAGTAACTATGTCATCTCCGTGGCTTCCCTCTTGGCCCCTTCTCTGTAGGCAGACCCAGCAATGATATAACCGAAGTCAAACTCACTGTCGTCTACTGGATTATGACTGTTAGCAACCCTATACATTGGTCCACTCACCACAAGGTCAAGAGTTCAGAAGGTGAGAGAATGGTGAAGATTCCTGCTTCCATACAATGTTATAGCATTTGTATCTCATCGGAGCAGCTCTGCTCTGCCCTAGGGAGGCACTATGAGCAAGGATGTTGTTGCTGTTAGGTGCCATCATGTCGGTTCTGACTCGTGGTTACCCTTTGCACAACAGAGCAAAACACTGCCCAGTCCTGTGCCTCTTCACAATTGGTCGTATGTTTGATTCCATAGTCGCTTGGGTAAGATATTCCTTAGTCCTTAAAGTAACATCTTTGCTTTTCAACACTTTAAACAGGTCTTGTTCAGCAGATCTACCCAAATGTAATGTGACATTTGATCTCTTTACTGCTGTTTGCATGAGCATTGATTGTGGATCAAAGCAAGACTAAATCCTTAACAACTTTAAACTTGCCCCCCATCTATCTTATTGGCCCAGTTGTAAGGATTTTGGTTTCCTTGACATTGAGTTGTAATCCATATTGAAGGCTACAATCCTTGATTTTCATCAGCAAGTGCTTCAATTTCTCCTGACTTTCAGCAAGCCAGGCTGCGTCATCTGAATGTTGTAGGTTCTTTATAAACATTCTTTTGATCTTTTTCATATAATGCAGCTTCTCTGATGATTTGCTCAGCATACAGGTTCATCAATAAGTATGTTTAGAGGATACAACTTTGACACACACCTTTTCTGATATTAATCAATGCAGCATTTCCTTGTTCTGTTTGTATACTTTCGCAGGTTCTACAGGAACACAATGAAATGTTCTGGAATTCTCATTTTTTTCAAGGCTATCCATGAGTTATTATGACCCACACAGCTGAAGACTTTTGCACCGTCAATAAAACATACATAAAGACCTAGTATTCACTACTTTCTGTCAAGATCCATCTGACATCAGCAATGATATCCATTGTTGCATATCTTCTGAATCTGCCCCAAACTTCTGGCAGTTCTCTGCCACTGTACTGCTGCAAATAGTGTCAGATGATTTTTAGCCGAGTTTCCCTTGCATGTGATATTAATGATATTATTTTATAACATGAGCATATCCTTTATTCAAAATGAATACAATGTAAATCTTTTAGTCAGTTGGCTGTGTAGGTATCTTGCAAATATCTTGGCTTAAAAGAAGAAGGAGTGCTCCCTGAGCTTCATCAACTTGTTAAAACATTTCAGTTGGCATTCCACCAATTCCTAGAGCCTTGTTTGGGGGTAGTATTTTCAGTACAGCTTGGGCTTCTTCCTTCAGTACCATTGGTTCTTGCTCATATGCTTCCACCTTCAGTATTGAATGCTGACCAGTTCTTCTGGGAACAATGAGTCTGTATTCTTTCCATGTTCTTTCAGTGCTTCCTGTACCATTCCATATATGTACCATAGAACTTTCAATATTTCAAACTGACGCTTGAAGCTTTGTCTTGAGTTCTTTCGGTTTAAGTTATACTGCGTATGCTCTTCCTTGCTGGAATTCTAACTCTATGCCTTTGCACATTTCATTACAGCTTCCTTGGTCTTCTTCTCAAGAGGCCCTTTGGAATTTTCTGCTCTGCTCTTTTACTTCATCATTTTTCTATAGACTTTAGATACTCTCCCATTAAGAGTAAATTTCAGAATCTGTTCTGACATCTACCTTGATCTTTTCTGTCTTTTTAATGACCTTTTGCTTTCTTCATGAATGATGTTCTCGATGTCACCACTCATCAGGCCATCTGTCATTAGTGTTTAATGCATCAAATCTATTCATGAGATGTTCTCACAATGCAGGTGGGATATACTCAAGATCATACTATGGTCCTTGTAGACTTGGCTTATGTCGACTTGTTTGATAATGGTATTCATGAAACTCAAGCTCACTGCCATTAAGCTGATTCTAAATCATAAAGACCCTATAGGATAGGGTAGAACTGCCCCTGTGGGATTCTAAGACTGTAACTCTTTACAAGAGTACCAAGCCTCATTTTACTCTCACAGAATGTCTGGTGGTTTAGAACTGCTTATCTTGCAGTTAGCAGCCAAATGCAAAACCATTTTACCACCAGGTCTCCATTTGAGCAATGCTATAGCGCCTGCTAAATGGTCCAGATGTTCCTTGATCTATGGTAATGTTAGCCTCTTTTCATTGTTTCTCCAGCCTCAAGGGTGTTAGCAATGTATGCCCGCTGCTAAAGTCTGATTCCATACTCTCACTAGCATCTAGTCAGTTCTGACTCATCGTGACACTACAAGACAGGGTAGAACTGCCCAGTGGGTTTTTGAGGCTGTAACTTTTTATAGGAGTTGACTGCCTCATCTTTCTCTTTCAGAGCAGCTGAAAGGTGGATTCGAACCACAGAGACATTATGGTTAGCAGCACAGTGCACAGCCGCCTATGCCACCAGGGATCCACTGGATTTCTTTATGACCAGTGTAACCAATGATCTAGATCTAGAATACAGAAGAATCAATACTGACTTTTTTCCTCTTTGCACCCTAATTGATACAGATAATTCAGTGGGTGATTAAATTATTACAGGTTGGAAGAAACCAACAGCAAAACAACATAGTGGATCTTTCACTGTTAGGTCCTTTGAAATACCTGATTAAATCCAGGGGCTGATACTTATACCACATTCCCCAGCGTGCCCAGAGCTCATAGAGCAGATGTCGGCTATTCTGAGGCCCGTGGCTTTTGATGGGCAGTCTGCTCTTGTAAGCTCCCTGAAACACAGAAAACAGATGAATTATTATCTACTGTCTCAGTGAAATTTGAGCTGAATTAAGGTTGCTTTTTGTTGTTCTCTGAGCATTAATTTTGAAATCTATTGAAAGCTTCTGAAATTGTAACCTTAAACCCATCACAGTAATGATGCAGTAATTGTGTGTATGTGTGTGTGTGTGTGTGTATATATATATACATATATATATGTATATGTATATATACATATATATATGTATATATATATCCATTTAACTTGTCTGGAACCTCTGAACTTTTAATAACATATTATATTCACCTTCACAAAGAGAAATTGTGATTCTCTTTAGTCAAGAATAAGTACAAATACAAATCTGTATTAAGAAACAATCCAATGCCATAAAAGGTTTACTTTATATTTTGTTTATGAGCATTTATTTTCATTTTATAAGTAGATTAGAATCAGTGCTAATAAAAATACTAAAAAATACTTATGAGTCAGAAGTGCTAGTCATGTTTTAATATCAAATGTTCAAAATTTATTTCAGATAAAATATACCAAACACCAAAGAACTTTTCAAATTCTTGTACTCTAAAATAGTATCAAAAATCTGCAATTTAAGCAATAAATATTATATATCTCTTATAAAGCAAAGTTTTCCTGATAGTGGATTTTTTTCTGCTTTTATAACTATGAGAATAATATTTTCTGAACCAAAACATGAGACCTGGGGGATACTAAACTCATCTTCTATGTTCAAAGGTATGATTCTACTTTCATGAAGACTATTCTACTCTTATGAAAATTTGAAATAAGGAGAGCTATACCTCAGTTTCCTCAGCTATAAAATAGGGACCATAATAATAACGATGCCCAACAGAGAAAAATGTTGATGTCAATTGCTTTTATATGTTTGATCAGTTGTAGGCAATGCAAAGGAGGAAAGTGTCATTAGGACAGCTCCCAACAGGCAGGAATGTGAGTTCCTATGGAAAGAAAGGGCACCTGGGATTATGGCTGATGATTGCATGAAAATTGAAATGGGAAACATTCATGGATGTCATCTTTGTGCCTCCAAAGAAATAGGGAAATTAATGAGGTAATTGTAGTTAAAGTGACTCTCAAAGTTCTTTGCTAAGAGTGACTCAAGGTCTTTAGAGCCTAAGTCTAGGAAGATAAGGAGATTGAGGCGAAGATCACAGTTTAAGCATGAGAACATCCACTTGAGCAAGGTTTCCTTGTCTGTAATTTTGGAGCGATCTGTTATGGCTAAATGCCACGAGACTAGGTATCTCATGAAAGGACACCAAATCTCAAATTTCTATCTATGAATGCTAATAACTTTCAAAAATATATGGCTTTCTTTTCCAGCCTTCATGCTCAAATAGGCACACCCTAGTCTGCAGATGCTAAGCTTTAGAATACCAACTTTATCACCATTTTAAATGCTTAATAAGCTCAGCCAACCTCACTCTTCTGAGTTGACAATCACATGGAGTTTGGCTGCAAGAAACACTAACCCAGTGATGGTGTCAAGTCATGGGCTGTGCGTTGTTGTTGTTGTTGTGTGCTGTATGCTAGTAGATTTTCAGGTGCACAGTAGTAGGCGCCACTCTGACACCCACCTTGTTTGTGTGTGGATCAAGCAAGGAAGTCTGTGCTGAACAGAGAGAGACTGCCAGCCACCCTTTCCCCAAATGGGGTACATGTAGAGCCCCAAGTTAGAGCCAATGCTCCTTCTGAGGCTTGGATTCCTTCCTTCCTGCTGTGTCAATGAGGACCAATTGCTGGAGGGCCAGGGACAGAGGACTACAGGGCTGCATGGGCATTCTAATGGCTCTCAGAAAGGCACTGGCCCACACCTTCACTGAGCCCTTTGAACAAGTCTCAAATGAAAACAGTGGTCGTTATCACAAGCATAGGAAACTTTCTTAATCAAAATGGTATTTTTAAAATGATTTTTCTAAGTTACCTCATGTGGGGGAAATGCTGCTTCATATGCACCATTGTTTATAAGTTTATAGATACCTGGAAAGAGGAGAAAAAGAAGAGTTTGTCAGTCAGTTTGGATTATATTTTCCTCTTAAACAATACACTTGAGACATAATTAATTTTAAATCTTAAAATAGCTCAACTGTCTTTGATAACTGCTCTGTTCACGAGGACAATAGGCTGTGAACAATGGATGCCAAGAGGCCACTTGTCTGCCTGTAACATTCGTAAACGTGGTAATATGCTAACATAGGTTTCCAATTTCCATGTCTCAAGTGTGGTGCATACTATTTGGAACTATCTGAATCGGCAGGAAACTTAATTTTATTCTATTCTCAAAAGAACCAAAGTTTAGACAAGAAATCATGGGAATCCCAAATTTCAAAAAATTCTCAAAAAGATATTAAATTCTTTAAACTGTTAAAAAATTACTTAGCCTAAGAAATATAGCTTATAATAAGAGACACTTTCCTCAAATCCCCTCCATCTCAGTGAGGATGCAATGAAGTCGTTACTTTTAATAGAGTTCTACTAATAATGAAAATTGGGATAACGATTTTTAGAGAGTAATTTTTGTTGTAATATTATATATAGGTCAGGAGCTTGAAAGAACTGAATATCCCTAATTTGGGAATCATCTACATATTATGGAATAATCATTTATGTTAGGTATTTAGTACATTGTGATTTGGTGAATGTGTGCAATGAATATTATCAAGCTATTTACAACAATATTTTCAAATAGTACCAAAGAGCTTGAGCTATAAGTTAAAAATTATATGGCCAATGCCAATTAAAGCATAATATAGGAAATAATAAATACTGCCTCGCTGTGTGATTCTTACTCTTCAGTATTCATTTTTAACAATGACAACTAAAATGTGGGGTGATTTTAAACTTTTTATACTTTGCTTCTTTCATTTTCTACCAAGGAAATGACCATTTAAAAATCATTAAAATGTCCTATTTATTTTTAAAGATTAAAGGTGTAGTTTTATACAAATTTGCATGTTTTAATTCTTAGCCTGGATTTCTTTATTTTTACTTCTTGTTTCAAAAGCATCTGACTAGATTTTTAAAAAAATCTTTCTTTAGGTCAACTTTGATGTCCAAAATAACTCTTTGGACTGCTCTGTACCAATGGGGTTGCCCCTTGGTAGCCAAGCAGGTAGGGGTGTCTGCTAAGTGAAAGGCCAGAGGTGTGACCCACCATGTGCTCCGTGCGGCAAAGATGTGTCATCTGCTTCTAGAAGATTGACGGCCTTGACCGAGCTACTCTGTCTTACAGGGTCACCGTGAGTTGGATTCAACTCAACGGCAGTGGGTTTGGGGCGTTAATGGGATAGCTGGTCAGAAAGGAACAAAAGTCCGGTAAAGATCTGATATGAAGCATAGTTCCTGCAACTCATGGTACATTTTATATTAATGAAAAACCATAAGGATTATTATCCATTTCTATCCGCTACCGATTTTCTATGTTTAAGACATTTTCAACATGACTAATGTTTGATCTCTTTCAAAAACAGAACAAATTCATGACTCTCAATCAGTGCGAGCTCCCAGGAAGTCTCAGTGGCTTAGTGGTTCCGAGTTGGGCTGCGATCCAGAGAGCTCTGCTTGGAGAACACCAGCCGCTCCGGGACAAAAGACAGGGTTTGCCACTGCTGTAACCTGTGACAGTCTGGGGAACTCACGGGCAAGCTCTACCCTGCCCTACAGGGTCTCTGTGATGGACTGATCGCGTTTGTCTCCTTTGTTTATCCAGCCAAATAGCTAAAACGCTAGCCTATTCTGACATGTTTGCCCTGCTCTGCTGTTTGAAAAATTTCCAGTTTAATTTTTCTAGGTGAAACTTTCTCAATTATTTTTAGCTCACTTCTAAATATCCAATACAAATATTTACACATTTAAATTTAGTCGACAGTTCACCTTTTGCAGATAGCCTATATAAAGTTTCCTGCTTCTTTCTGTTTATGGATATTTCTGTTTATCAATTAAGGAAGACTTAGAGTTTTGTAACACTCGATGCATGGTCGATATGTTTTTACTTCAACAGAGAATTACCAATTTTCAACTTCCACAAGTGGATATTCTATGTTCAATGTTTGTATAACATATAGCACATAACAGATCCTCAGTACATTTATAATAACTACAAAATTTATGACACATATTTTTTAAAGAATATGTTGATAAGGAATAATGTAATTAATTACTGGTCCCTAAGATGGGAATTGAATTTGTTTCTGTTTTTTTTCTATTATAAACAAAGTTGAATGATAGCATTCTAACATATGGTTATAAAAATCATATTATTTAGTTAGGAAACGTTCAGAAGTAACACTTCTGTGTCAAAATGTTTACACACTTTATATGTTGATACATATGACCAAATGCTTTTTGTTTGGTTTTATTTTATTAAAATGCTGCAAAATAGAATATTAGAGTTTTGTTCAACAGGTTATATCCTGACTGAATACACAAAAGCAATGCTTCCAATTTAAAAAATAATAATTATAGTTATTACTCCCCATATATTCATTTTCCCTAGGGTGTTAATTACTGTTCTTACCCACTTTAGATACTCCATTTTCATATTTGGTGTGCTGCAGCACGTGATAGACTATTCTGCTTCGGGCAGCATTACTGAAGAAGGTTTCCTTATTGTTTATAATAAAGCTGTGAAAATGAGGGAATTGAATTTAGCATTCAAAGCAGAGCATAGAATCCACAAGTGTAATATGCTGTTGGGAATATCATCCATCTGTTTTATCTACTGAAAGGACTACATGCACGTAAAATATGATAAAGCAGAATAGAAAACATCTTTTTAAAAAGAACATTGAAAGGAAAAAAATGCATCATAAAAAATATAAGACAGTATCAAATATTCATTTTAATATCTTCTTTCGGTATATAAAACTCTAGACAGCCTCATATTTCTTGTTTATCATGGAACAAGGGGGGAATAGATTGCACATTTGTTTCCATAAATTTTGTACTACCTTCGCAATGTTGTTCCAAATAGATCACATTAAAAATTAAAGCCAGTCCCTGTACCTCCCTTCTCACACCGGCTGGTCTTGCTTTTGGAACTTCAGCAACAAAGAACAGTCGTTCCACCCTTCATGCCCTGCAGGCCCAGCCCAGAAAAAATACTAACGAGGGAGTGTGTGATCATTTAAAAAGTAATATCAGATAAAGGATGAGTGCAAAAGGAAGTACAGGGTCTATCTTTGCATTTACTTGATATTATTTTTAGGTGCCTTTGAGTCAGTTCCATCACCTAGAGACCCTATTCGACTAAGAGCTTAAAACATTTAGTTTTCTGGACTTCACTTAACACTGAATACTTCCTGATTCAAGTACTTTGTCTATGCTAATGATAAACCATCATTATTTTCAGATACTTGGCATTAACATATTAGATGTTTTATCATCCTTGTTTCTTCTTTATTTACCACATTCAAACAGGTGTCAAACTCAAACTCTGTGCAGCCTCTCTCCCGCTTCAATGCTATTTCTGTTGTGGATCACTTTTGCTTTTGTCTCGCTCTAAGAGGATTGTTCTAACTGGCCACCAATGTCCCCCCTGAATTTCAAAACACAGCTGGGATCCTCAGAACCCTCCTCTACTTAAAACCTATCAGCAGTTTCCATTACCTGCATAATTAAATATCCTGTTTTCCTGCCAAGGCCTCTACACTTGCATCCCTCCCGACCCCGCAGCCTAATTCCCATAGTCTCTGGGGGCTTGTGCCTAAGAATTCATCAATTTTTGACATCTATGACCACTTTAGAAACCTAGCAGTAAGGGGAGTTATGCATGGGGTGGCAAGCTGCAAGGTGAGTAGTTCGAACAAACCAGGAATTCACAAGGAGAAAGATGAGTCCGTCCAGTACTGTTAACTTTACAGCCTCAGAAACTGTACAACGTTCTACTTGGCTCTCGCAGGCGGCGATGACAGCACCATGACAGTAGGTGCTTCCACCTTCCAATACAATCCTTTCACGCTGTCTCTGTTGGCCTATATCTCTCTACCTCTTTCATTAGTTTTCCTTTCTGAAAAGTATCACCTCCTTAAAAAAGGCTTTCCACTCCTTGACTGCATGTGGCTTCTCCCTCATCTAAAATAATCTGCGCTTTATATTTGTCTTTCCTACATATTGCTTATTCTTTGCCTTGATTTATGGTAATCTATATTCCTGTCCATTTCATTAGGTTGTAGCCCAGAGCCAATGATAGGAAATTTGAAATATTTCTTAGTACAAATGAGAAGCCATTGGAGGCTTTTAAGCAAAGTCATTGTATAATCTGACTGATATTTTCCAATGGTCACTCTAATATTTTCTGGGTTCAAGAAGAAAGAGCCAAATGTTTTTTGTTGGTGCTCCACAGAGCATTAAAGGCTCCAAAACAGTTGTGGTAGAAAGTTGAAGAAGATTCCACAAAATGGTGGCCTTTCTCTAGAGTCTAAATCTATAAATTAGCTGGACTTAAGAATGTTTCTCTCCCTTCCTCCACCTGAAATCACAAAGAATTCTGCTAGAGTCACCCCCAAATGTAAGATACTGAGTAAATAGAATAATGGGGGTGCAGGCTTTCCCATTGATTGTAATATTGGGTGAGTTTGAATTATACTTCCCCCTGTTCTAAACCTCAAGCTTGCCATCATACACGTCTATATTGTTGTTGCTATTAGGCGCCATTGAGCTGGGTCCATTTCCTAGGGTCCTCATGGGGACCAAACACAACAGTACCCATCCTACCAATTGTTCTTCTGTTTTAGCCCATTTTGACAGCCACTATGCCAAGCCTTATGTGCCCTAAATGCAGTCTAACAGCTCTCACTAACACATAGAGCATACGGCTAAACAATACTGTAGCTAAAGGTCTATAACACACTGTGCTATATTTATGCTATTTTACTTATTTTTATTGATATTTTCATTGGCTATATTAAACTAAGAGAATATTTGAAGGCAATGACTGTGTCATAATTCCCTTTTAATCTCCAGCTTGTGCTATAGGACCTGGTTCATATAGATCCTCAATAAATAGCAATTGAATAAATGGATGGATAGAAAATTATAGAGCAAACCCAGCTCCAAAATTTCACTTAGTTTTGAATCAATCACCTAATGTTAACGAAAATGGGCAGTTCAATTGATAGAAAATATTAGGTATATGTAATTATACAAAACCCAAATTCACTGCCATCAAGTTTATTCCAACTCATAGCAATCCATTAGGACAGGGTAGCATTTCCCCTGTGAATTTCTGAGGCTGTAAACCTTAACAGAATAGAAACCCTCTTCTTTATGCAGCAGAGCAGCTGGTGGTTTAGAATTGCCGATCTCTTGGTTAGCAGCCCACCATATAATCACTTATTCCACCATTGAGGGTTTCTAAATATGATGGTAAACATATTAAAATGTATGAATTAGAACAACCTAGTCTTCAATCTGCCATTGAAGATGAGAGAACCGTGCTTGCTGAAAGGGAGGAGGACTTGAAACATCTGCCTTCAGTGTGGATTACAATTCAATGTCAAGAAGACCCAAATCCTCACAAGTGGACCCATAGGTAACCTCACGGTAAATGGAGAAAAGGTTTAAGTTGTCAAGTGTCTTACTTGGGTCCACAATCAATGTTTCTGGAAGCAACAGTCAAAAGGCCAGAAGCTGAGTTGTGTTAGGTAGGTCTACTGCACGTGAACTCTTCAGAGTGTTGAGAAATAAGGAGACCACTCTGAGGACCAAGGTGCGCCTGGCTCAAGCCAGGGGATGTTCAATGGCCTCATCTGCTTATGAAAGTTGGGCATTGAATAAAGAAGACTGAAGAAGGGCAGATGCATTTGAATTGTGGTGCTAGCAAAGACTATTAAAAGTACCATGGAATGCCAAAAGGAAAAACTAGTCTGTTGTGGAAGAAGGCAAGGGTGCTCCTTAAGGGAAAGGACAGCACGACTCCACCTTATATGCTGTACACATGTGAGATAGTTTATTGTGCCAGCCTGGCCGATAAACACAAGTGGGATTAACTGAAGGGCAGAGAGATAAATGGCTTGGTGAGTCTCACCTTTCTTGTCTCTCGCTCTTTGATCATCGGACCAGTGTGCAGCTGCCTTGCTTGTTCTGTGCATCAATTTAAAGGCTACACTGCCTGTGGGACGCCTAGCCTGTGGACTGTGTCGCTGTAAGTTGAGGTCCCTTTAAGACATCTCTGGAGCTGGGGACTGGTAGTTCATGACCTGGCAGTTGGTGACCTGCCTTCTGATTGGCTGCTGTGCTGACATAGCCTAACTCGCTCTATAAATAGAAGAAGATCTGACAGCAGACTAGACTTGAAGGACTGCGAGTCTCTCACAAGTCTGTCACGGGAGTGAGTTGAATTGAACCATTTGTAGTGCATTATAATTTAACTGTTTCTTTCTTGTATTATATATTTATCTGTATATGATTTAACAGTTCATTTCTTGTTATATATCTAATTATCTTTATAAAATATTAAATTATCAGCAATTTGGTTTTATCTCTCTAGAGAACCCTGTTTAACACAACATGTTGTCAGGAGACACTAATCCCTGGAAAAGACATCATATTAGTAAAGCAGAAGGGCAGCCAAAAGGAGGCAGGCTCTCGAGATAATGGGTTGATACCAGGGTGGCAACAAGGGGCTCTGGGATAGGAATCATTGGCAGGATGACACAAGACTGGGCAGTGTTTGGATCTGTGTGCAGAAGGTCATTACAGGCCACAACTGACTCCATGACACCTGACCACAACGTGTTAGACAATAACAAGTAATTATTTTCATTTTTTCCATTGTCTCTACTATTATTTTAATTGTATCACTAACGACCAGCGCAGTTGAAAGAGCTGGAAATGAGACTACCAGCCTGTGAGCTTATAATTTATTATTTGTTGATTGAATATCTCTAAATAACAAACCCAATAAACAAAGAGAATTCACTGAATGTTTTTCAGTGTACATTTTAATATAATGATTCATTTTTTAACTTGCTTGGACATATATAGAAACACCAGTTATTTTTATGCAATCAACAGGTCTTAGGTAATACAAGATCCAAGATCAGATAGTGGAAGAAAAGAAACAGAACTCACTGGTGAATCCGTGCCCGGCTGAAAGGACCAGTATAACATTTTGATTCTTCTAAGTCTGGAAAAACGGACTTGTCAAGAACCATGGGGTTTTTGGGCATAAAGCTTATGATTTTTTCCAGAGTCTTTTTTATCCTGGAAAAAAAATGACATTTTAGAATTAGATAAGTTTACCTTCCCGAGCTATGTCTAATCTCTAACTATAGTTCCTTCGTCTAAGGAACGTTTCAAAAGCACACACACACACACACACACACACACACGTGCACATGCACATGTACACATGCACATTCCTCCTGTCCCCACAAAAAATGATTAACAAACCAAACCTTGTGCATTTTTAAGCTCTTTTATGCTTGTTAGAAATGCCTTGTGGTATTAAAGAATTATCAAATACAAGAACGGTGAATGGGAAAGGAGAAAGGAATATAGCACTACAAGAGCAGCATGATATATTTATTGAACCTGTTTCCTAAGGGGTGTGTGTTGGTGTAGATGTAAATAACCCAAACTCGCTGTCCTCCAGTCCCGTCTGAATCGCAGCAACCCTAGTGGACGGGGCAGATCTGCCCTTGTGGTTCCTGAGAACGGAACCCTGGACAGCTGTGAGAAGCCTCAGCGTTCTCCTGCTGACCGGCTGGTGATTTCAAATTGCTGACCTGGTAGGTGGCCTTCCAACGCACCACCACTATGCCACCAGGTGTCCTAGATCAGTGGTTCTCAACCTGCGGGGGGTGAAACCCCTTGGGGGGTCGAGCGACCCATCCACAGGGGTTGCCTGATTCATCATAGGTAGCAAACGACAGTTCTGAAGTAGCAACAAAAATTATTTCATGGTTCGGGGATGACAATGATATTGGTGATGTTTGGGGAAGTTGATTTATGTAATCATTTTCATTAAATTACTCAAGTGAGAAATGTAAAATATGTTGTCTAGTCATACTATTGAAACTCCCGGCATTTGACATGCTACAATTCAATTCAATTTGAGGTTCAAACAGGTGAAAGCATCGGTATTTCATCTTGTTTTAGAACAAGGGCACTAATCTCATTCCCATGCCTTATGTATGTAGCTTAAATCATTTGCTGGCTATTGCGCTTATCCAAGCCAAATGTTTTCAGCAAATGTGATCACATAAATTCAGTTTTATTTAAGTATATCGAAATCATACTCACTGTCATCTCAAATCTGTAGACACTTTCAACGTCCATATATTTTCTTGTTCTTACTATTATTTTATGTACTGCTAGTGACAAAAATCCTACAGTTAAATAATACCTGTGTCTAATATATGTATAAATAGAAGATGGTATAGCACTGGACAGTGTTTTATTCGGTTGCACATACAGTTGCCATGAATCTCGGCAGACTCAGTCGCATCTAATAAGCACCATAATAGACGGATACCTAAAACTGTGATTTAAAGTGGTATGAGGCTCAGCCAGGTCAGAGTCACATGATAGCTTAATATAAAACTCTTAGCTCAAGGGCACACTGTGGATTGATTGAATCTGAATTGTCATTTAAACAAAATCCTCAAGCATTTTTTTTTCATATATTGAAATTTGGGAACCTTTGTCGTAAAAGTCACTTAACATCATGAAAGTGTGATCATCTATAAGCCTGATAAGCAAATTAAAAAACTCCAAATTCAAATAATCTACCTCTAGAAAGATAATTTTGTGTTTCATATTTCAAAAAGTATGGTAGTTAAATTGTATGTCAACTTGCACTTGGGTAGGGCTGTAGTCCACCCTTTCCAACAGGTCACAGAGTGATGAAAACTCCTGGGTGGTATGTTTTACTATTGTTGTTGTTGTTTGCTTGTTTTTATGAGAGATACTGGGGATCCTTTCTCTCTCTCTCTCTCTCTCCCTCTCTCTCTCTCTGCCCCATCACCTTTCTGCTTACTGGGACTCTGTGCCTGCCTGCAGGGGCAGCCCCATGTGTGCCACCCAACCCGGGGAATTGTCAGCACCCTGCCAAGTTTCTGCTGACCTTAGATCCACAAGACTCTGCATCCATTGGCCTATGGTCTTCCTGCATCCTACTTTATCTCTCTGCATCACTGACTTGCAGCTGCTTTAGTCTGCATTGAACTGTGGACTTGAGTTGGACTGGATGGGATGACTTCTTGATACTTCTTGATAGAAAGCTCTTTCTTATGCAAACATGAGGGTCACTGGTTTGGTTAGAAAGCTCTTTCTTATGCAAACATGAGGGTCACTGGTTTGGTTAGAAAGCTCTTTCTTATGCAAACATGAGGGTCACTGGTTTGGTTCGATAGACAACCCAGCTAACATAAAGTGGGCATTATCAGCAAATAGTTGATTGGATACATTTAAAAGGATAGTTTCTTAATGCTCAAATTAAAAAAAAATTATAACAAAGCCGAACTCACCAATTACTTTGTCAAACTAATAAACTTTTGATCTTATTAAGCAACGTGTTAAAGCCATGTTAGTTCAATTGTTTTAACTAACTGTCATTCAAAGAATTGCTTCTGCTCCCACTCTTGAGAGAGAATCATTCTTATTGTCCTCACAAAGAGCATCGAGAATAACTGAACTGAATACTGCTTTCAATTTTCTAATCTGAGTTTTTTTAATCACTGTCACTTCTGCTTTGACAAAAGTGTATGATGAGAGAAAAGGAAAAGCAAATGAGCAGGTAATCTTCATATATTTTGAATTACTTTTTTAAAATAATAGTTATTTTTAAATTTAAATTTTATTCTCAATTTACTTTTACAAAGGAAAGTAGACCCTGTTTTCTAAAAAAAACACCTTAGTGAATTATGATATTATGCATATGTATCACCTGAAATTATTGTAAAAATGCAGATGTTGATTCAGTAGTACTTACAGAGTCAGGGAATTTGCATTCCTAACTAGATCCTAGGAGATGCTGGTATTGCTATCCACAGATTGCACTTTGAGAAATGAATTTAATATATGTTAGCAGTAATTTACCAGATGTATGCCATTAGGACACTGTTTCAGGTAATCTGACATCAACATATTTTGGATTTCAGATTACAGCTATAATCCAGTTTTACCATGTAGAGTATACTTAGTAATATCATATTTATTTTACAGAGAAGGAAAAGAAAGCAATAAAAAGAAAAATTGGCCACAAGTATCGACTCTCCAGATCAAAATTCTGAGCTACTGTAATAACAGCTGTTTACTAAAGACAGGGTGGAATATTAGACATACTTATATCATATTATTTATGAAGTTCTTCTCAGGGAATTTTTGGCTTCCTCTTCAATAGTAAATCAATGTAATAGGAAATAAAATTTTCCAAATAAGTATTATAACTCACTTAAACATTTCTTTGGGCAACTCTTAAAATTTCAAAGGAAAAAAATAGTACAAAAGTGAACAGGCACCTAATATTGTAGTTTTGAAATTATTTTGAATCTATTTATCTTGGTGAAAAACGCCATCTGTTATTTGAAATAATAATGAAGTTCTAAGAAGGCAGCACATGAAGAGTCCAGACCTTGCCTTTGACATGAACATGTATTCGTTAGATCATAAGTCATTTTAATTTGGAGGGAGCGGTGGCAAAACAATTTTTAGCCTAAAACAAGAAGTAGTATATGAGGTGTTCTGTTTGCTTCAGTGTCTGCTAAAATAAAAGTCTGAAAGAGCATCATGTCCCAGCAAAGAACACAAGATGATTTTTAAAAATATTTATTGGATAGCGAGCAGCTGACCCAGCATTTTAAATCTTACCATAGTGAAAATAAGCAATGGAGTAGGAGTCAGGAGAAGAGGGTTAGTCATTGAACATAAGCCAATCACTTCCCATGTTTCAGTTTCAAGTTCCTCATCTCACAAGGAAGGACGTAATTCCATCTGCCCCACTTTATTAGGTAGTTGGGAGGATCAAGTAAATGCCCCATGAGGCATGCCCTCAGAACATCCTCCAGGGGTAAGCACCCCAGGCCATATTATTTCTAACAAAATTACACACAGAATGGAAACAAAGCTGTTTTGTTTTGTTTTTTAGAAAAATCACAAAGATGACTTTCAGACCGTGTTATCAGAAATAATTTTATCTCTCTAGGCCTTTTAACACACACTTCCTACCTAAAGCAGGATAAAATACGTATGCTGATAAAATGCAGTGAGGCCTGGGTTTGAATAATAAAAGTGTTGAGAGGAAGCTACCTGGCCCTGCTTATTACTCTGGGCAACATGTTTAACTACCTGAAACATCCCTTTTCCTCAAATTTTAAGTAAAGTGGTGTGCAGAACTACATGGATTCCAACGATTCTGAAGACAAGTGTAACACCTGCACTCCTGCCCTCCTGTCAAGTGATGGGGAAGCATTCCTTTACTACCTCTCACCGGCACCGGTCCCTTCCTGTCACTCAACTGTCAAGCTGTGTTCCATGCCACTGGACCAGCGGTAGGAGACAGCAATACCTGCCCAGCCAGCTCTCGGATGTCTTGCAACAAGAAGCTAGTAAGCCTACTCTGTTACCCTAATATATAAAAACAAGAGAAAACCAACAAAAAATCATATTGAAACTAAAAATCAAACAAAACAATCATTCAACAAGTTAATACAATACCACCAGAAATCACACACACACACACACACACACACACACACACACACACACACACCAGGAAAAGATGGCCCGAACAAATGACCAAACTACAGGACCAGAATATATACTGGGAGAACACATTTACAGTCATATAGAGTCCACAGAGGCCTGCTTTAAAATGTCTTATTTCGATTTGGAAGTCAGTGGACTTTAGTTCAAATCCCTTGCTTTTAAGGTTTCCCAATAATTGGAAACTTCTGACTACATATATTTGCTATTCATACTTTCTTTGTTTTTTTGTAATATGTCTTAGTCCTGAAAAGATAGCTTACCCTTAGTAAATAAGCATTACTGAAACTGCTTTGTGTCTAAATCACTGCTTTCTTAAACAGCGTTCAGCTAAAGTCTTTACCTGTAAAAGTTAACATGTATTTCCCATGTATTTTAGTCTACAAAACTTTCTTATATATTTATACTTTCAATTTCTCAGAGTTTATAAACTCTGCATTGGCTATATTATAAAGGCTATTATTAAAATTATCAAAGACTCATGAAAGTCCATTAAA